ATCCATCCATCCATCCATCCATCCATCCATCCATCCATCCATCCATCCGTTCATCCATTATCTTTACCTGCTTTTTCCTTTTCGGGTAGCGGGGGTCGCTGGTGCCCATGTCCAGCCATCACTGTGCATAAATTTGGGGACACCCTGGACAGGTCGCAGGTCCATTTCAACCGGCGGATCAGCGGACGCACGCGGCCGGTGATCCGCTGATCCAGCTGAGCTTAACACAACTTTTTTTGACCTCTTTAAACCGGCCGGTCGGACCTGCCTCCTCCTCTCCAAGTAGATTAACACAATTTTATATTGTGTATTTTTATTTAGTTTTCTTTGTGACTCACAAAACTGCATCATAGAAGCCTGAGCTCACGTGCGCAATTATTACGCAAGACGATCTCTTCACAGTCTGATTAACTGCTGCACTCCTTTCTTTCTTCATCCTCTCAACATATAAACTTACTGCCTCCTCCTCTACAAGTAGATGAACACAATTTTATATTGTGCATTCTTATTTAGTTTTATTTGTGCTGTATGATTTGTAAAACCACAGCAAAGGACGAGACCGGCCCGCACATTAAGCACATTATCATGACCCGACCCGGTCCGAATCCGGATCAAGCTGTGGCGGGCTCCGGTTATAAATGACAGCTCTACACATTGTCACTGACCAACCCTGACTTTATGACGTTCGACCTGACTAAGAGCAGTTACTAGAAACGATGATATTTCTAAGATATTTGGTGTCGCCCAATGCCAGAGTTTTAGACTAAGATCAGCCTACGTTGAGAAACCATGGGGTTGTGGTCAAATCCTAAAAATATACAAGGTATGTGTAATCTCATACTGTATCTGGAGACATTGCTCTCAGAGTATTTGCTCTGAATGACTCAGCTACTACATCAAATTATATCTCAGTAGCTCTAAAACTGACTGAGGTGTGGACATTTTTGTTTTGCCTAAAGTTGATTTGTTGTAGTCACCACATAAAATTAGATTAGCTCCAAAAGTTAATTAGTTATTGATAGGGATGCAGAATATTGGATTTTTGGCTGATATCTGATATGCCAATATGTTAAAACTTATTTGGCCAATAACTGATACCAATATTTTTTCCCCTAGACCTACTTACAGAGACTACATATCTTTCTCTGCTGTGATATTAAAATACTACATTATTCTGCATGGTCTTTATCAATTTGGCCTGCTACCAGATACAGATGCCAAAAAGGGGGATGAAAATGATGTAACACTTCAACTTGGATTATGTTTAATGTCAAATTTATTCATGACATTTACTCTCTCTAACACAATAACAACACACAAACAGTGCAAACTTGTTAATTTTCAATTCAATCAATTTAATCAACTCAACCTGTTCACAAGCGCCAAGTGAAAAGCACATAAGTATTGGTGCTTTAATAGATATATTTGACTGTTTCTTAAATTAAAAACTAACTTAAAAAAGAAGCCTTTTATATCGGTGAGTTTTTTTTATGGAATGGCCGATGTCCGATATTTAACTTTATCGCTAATATCGTCCGATACCGATACAATGCCGATAATATTGTGCATCCCTAGTTATTGATGCACATTCAGTGATTATTTCCTGAAATTTTCATTAAAATTTGTGCTGTGGTTCATGAGACATTTTAACAGACAGAGACACAAGCAAAACTAATAATGTCTGCCTTACAGCAATGAGTTGTGACAAATATCTCATTGGCCTATAAAAACATGTCTCCACCATCTGCGTCACACAGCATGAACTGCAAGTTTGTTTAAATGCAACACGTTTCCATTACAAGGATCACATTATATTGACAATCTCAGTGTATGAACAGAGAAAGGACACGTTTGAACTGTACGTGAACTCGGGCGTTACCGTTGACACGGCGCTGCTGAGGCTCCGGCCGGCGCTCTGGCTGTGGGCTGACATCAGGGCGTCGATGTCTTCCTCCTCGTCAGAAAACTCCTGTGAATGACGGAGCTCTGATCAATCGAATGACGTTTCCAGGCTGATCTGACTTCCATAAATTCAACCGGACTCGTCGAGACCGAGCCTGACAATTTAACTTTCACGTTCGTATCATAACATCTGCCTTACGGTCAGCTTGAGAGCATGACTGGGGATAGAAAAGAAAATGGTTTGTGTTTGAGTGTTTCTGTTAGGTGCTTTAAATGCATATGAAGGAAAACACCGTCCTGGATGAAGTGAACCTGATCAAACCTACTTTATCCTCAACTGTAGTATTGGGATAGCTTCTTAATTGGAAGTCAAGGTTGTACAGATAGGCCTTAGTGTCAGTTGAACCCATCGGCCCTGGCTCAAAGCGGTTGACATATTTTGCAATTTTGTGCAAATCCAAAATTGGGAGCAAAGGCTGTATTATCGGTACCGTAGGAACCAAAATGGCACGTGGAGGTGTGTCGCTAGACACATGTGGAGGTGACGGAATGGGATTAAGAGCAGGAGGTGCAGCAAAATCCTTCTGAGGTGGTGGTGGGTGACCTGGACTCTGACCTTGTTCATCTTTGAGTTCCAGACAACCTCGTCCCACGTCAGAAATCTCATTTGTTGCAGCGGCTAGTTTCACCTCACAGGCTTTTAAGCGTTCCTGTGATGTATGACATTCACTTTGTAAACGCATGCCTTGTTGGACTAACGCCTCCTTTTCCAATCTGCACTCGTTCAGAGCTTTTGATGTGAGCTGCAACTGTTGTTGTAGCGCCTCATTGTCTGAAAACAGTGCCTGGTACTTAGTCTCTCTTTCCCTTATCTTCTCCTCATATGAGTGAGCTTGTAACGACAGCTGAGCTTGTGAGAGCTCTCTGTCATGTTGTAACTCATTCGCACGGGTCTCCTGATCAAATTTAGACTGTGCCATGAGCTTTAGATACTCCTCTGTTTCACTGTTTAACCTTATTGCAAGGTCGTCAGCTCTGTTCACCTCCCTATGAAATGTTGCCTTCAATAAGAGTGCTAACTTAGCCAGCTGGTCAAAGCTTGACTTTGTTCTGGCTGTAGAGGTCACACTCTCTGCTACATCCTTCAGCTCGTCCATTAACTCTTTTGAGTTCATGCAGTCCACCTGTTCACCAGATGGATTTAAGGATTCTGTGAGCAGCGTTAATGCCCTCTCCAACCAGTCCTTCATCTCACAAGGATCAATATTCTTTTCTGTCACATCTGCCATGGTCATTCACTGTTCAGCACTTATCTGGTGACACAGTTAGCCAACTTTAGAGTTTTTAACAGGTAAATATTTGTATTTAAGTGAGCAGTGAGTTTCACACACTATTTTAGCTCTGGGTTCACTCAACAGTACTGTTATAAACCAACTTCTTCAAATGAATGGGCACCTAATTGTAGGATTCACCCCAATGCATGAATATTCTAAGCAAATGCCTCCGTCTGGCAGTGTTACTTAAAGAGCTTAAATCAAACAGATACGAGAACCAGGCTTTTTCCAGTGTTCAGTTACTCTAAAGCACTTAAAATTAAATAAACCTGCAATTTTTCTAAAAGTCTCACAGCAACTTTAGTTTTCAAATGCTTTTTTAAGCAGTTTAATTTACCAGAATTTGCTATTTAAAACAGTAACTCATAAACCAGGCTGAATTAACAAAAACAAAAATATTTTAAATGAAGGGCAGTGAGCAGTCTTCTTTCAGGAAAACTGTTATACCCCTCTTTCAACAGCAGGTGGTGGTGTAAGCTTATTTTTACCAGCAGAAGTCTATGACAACTTCCTGTGGATGTTCTGTTGATATCTGGTTGTTAGCCGTTAGCTAGATGTAGCACACGGTCGAACACGGTCAAATCAGCACTTTCTGAACGGATTTAAAGCTTAAACGTGGCGTCGCTTTAACAAGCACGTCTATTTGCATGAAAACATGAGTTTTAGGAACAGTGGCAGGCTTCATTTAGCGATTTTAAACACAGAGGAGGCTTCGGTTGGACCGAGATACATTTCTGGGGTCACGTGACTTTACAGACACGTGAGCAACGGGGTGGGCTTTACAATCTGACATCAGAGGGAGTGAACGCACAGACACGTCACCCGTTTCTCAGCGAATCAGAGCGACCCAAACAGCGGTTTTCAACCAATCACAGCTCGTGATTCCAGCTAGCAGTTAGCCTGAAAAGTCCGGTCACAATCGTCCATTAAACCTCCAAAATGCACAATTTACTGTTAAAAATGTAACAAATCAGCATATAACAGTGGTCTGAGTCGGCGCTCAGCTTCAAAGAACTTTTCATCCATTCAAAACACGGCTTGTTCAGTCCAGTAACAGAACCGTGTCGGACAGCAGAACCTCCCGGTCATGCCACAGTTTCAAAACAGAATAAAGCGTCTTTCTCACTGCTACAGCTTAATTACACAAACAGAATGATAATTTTCAGCTTTAACAAGAACACATTGACGTAATCTGTAGCTTCTGAACACCACAAGCATGACTTATCATGTCCCTTTAAGCTCAGAAATACGGACAACCATGCCAACACGCAGCGTCCATCTCAATAACACAGACTCCGTCACATATAATTCACACCTCTTTAAACATTCGTACGGCCACAAAATGTCTAAAGAGGAGGATGGGTCCTCAATGATCTCTTTTAGAGACCATGCGGGCCATGAGAAGCTCTTTAGAGACTGTCTGGGCCACCAGATGTAGTGTGCTAAAAGGCTCGATTAGCTTCAGAGCTCCACTACAATCATATTTTAAAGTAACGGGTTCTCTCTTTTTCGAGCTACTTTAGAGATATGTGACAGAGGTACTGTGCGTAGATGGTTTAATCAGTGACATGAGACGTTAATTTTCTTTGACCCATCA